TTATTGCGTTTTAGGTCCTTCCGGGCCGTTTTGCGATAAAAACCGTTTTCCGACTTTTTACGGGATCGTTTCCTGATCTGACGTCGTTTTAATAAATTTCTCGAGTTAATCGCAAAGTTTTACGATTTACTCGACTTTTTATTAAAAACATGTTTTTTTATGACTTACTCGGCGTTTTTATTAAAAGCGCGTTTTTTATTAAAAGCGCGTTTTTATGATTTCGTCGAGAAATCTCGAATAAATCGTATAGTTTAGGCAATGTTTGGTGTTTCGTTTAACCGTTGCCGTTTTATACGATTTACTCGAGTTCTTTCCGAGAAAACGAAGTTTTACGGTTTTTATCGTAAAACTCGAACGGTAAATCGGATCGAGATGGAACGAGAGATATTTCGGCCGTGGTTCAGAACACGACCTTGTCGTAAGTTTCGAATCGGGAATGCGGGAAATCGGCCCGGCTTAGATTGCCGACGGGCGAACTAGTTGCGACTAGTTCGCGTTTTACGGCTTTTTTCAGTTTTTTACGGTTTTGTAAAACGATTCTCGAGTTTTATAAAATGATCTTCGGATTTCATAAAACGACTTTTGAGTTTTTATAAAAACGATCTTCGATTTTTATAAAACGATTCTTGAGTTTTATAAAACGATTCTCGAGCTTTACAAAACGATTTCTCGAGTTTTATAAAGCGATTCTCGGGCTTTATAAAACGATTTCTCGAGTTTTATAAAGCGATTCTCGGGCTTTATAAAATGATTTCTCGAGTTTTATAAAGCGATTCTCGAGCTTTATAAAACTGTTCTTTTTGTATTCTTGCGGAAAGTTTTGGCTATTAATTCTGTTGTACCGATTTTGACCCCAACAAGCTCAATCTCCATTATCGACCAATTACCTATCATGATGAACTTAGCAGACCCTCATCATCAGAAGCCAAGGAGCATGATAGAGTCATCATCTAGCTTCAGAGTCTGCTGCGACGGATCTCGATCAGCTGCAATTGATGTGTTAAGATCATATCCTCTGGGTTTTTGATCATTCCTTACAGCAAATTCATTACCGTCAAAGCCGTTTTTACAGTTTCTCTGCGAGAAGACTTCACTATAATAGATAGGCACGGGAACAAAATCTTAAAGTTTTGTTTTATTCTTTTTTTTTTCCCTCTTACCCTCTGTTTTATGTGTTCTTTACCGCCGTCTGTGTTGTGGTAAAGGGCTCGGTGGAAGTTGTGTATATTAGAAGAAGTGCTGCATATCAAGCTATGAAGAGATACAACAATGTACAGTTAGCGGAAGAGACTGTAGCTCACCACCGAGTCCGTGCTCTGGAGCGTGTTTGTGCTCAGAATGGTGTTGACATCTTCATTGATGATAAATACAATATCTATGATGCTGAGAAGACTTATGAGGTAATATTTTTGCAATCATTTTTTCTTTGGGTTTGTGATTGTTCCTTGAAGCAAGTAATGTCTCTTTGGACAAGTGGATTTTGTCCTGATTGGGGTCATGCTAATGCAATTATGTTATTGTAGAATGATGGACCAGGTTGAAGCTTTTAGCGAGAGGGAGAGATGGAGAATACTTTACTGCTGATAGGGAACTTTGTAGATTATGTCAAGGAAGTAGAGGTGCATCAAACATTGGTTTAATGTTTTAGGAAAATGAGCAAGATAAAACATTGCTTTACAGTTAAGGAGCGTATACAATAATTATAAGGTCATTATATTTCTATCAATTGGTCGCTTGCAATGTCGTTGTGAGTTACAAATGCATAGGTCAGGCCAACATCTGAATAAAAAGAGATATGCAGAGTATTATAAAGTTTACGGCCATATATATGTTATCTTTTACCTCTTAGTTGATTATTTATCGATGTGATCTATAAATCTATGTTTGTCCTCGGTTGTTTAATTACTCTATAAGATTCACTTAATATTGTCACAAAAACTAATTTGATGCTTTGACAAAATATTTTAGAAAATTAATGTAAACAAAAAACTGAAGGATAACTTATGTTTTAAAAAATATATAACTTATTATTTTTTATTTATCGAAACAGAATAAAATTAATATGAAATCTAAAAACTATAAGAAAATTAGCTTTATATCTTCGTTAACTTTAAAAATATGAAAAGCATTTTAATTAAGTATCTAAATTATCAAAACTTCATATCTTAAAGCAATATGAAAATCAGTATCAAAATAACTATAAATAAAACCAATTTAAAAGAAAATTAAATTGATATTTAGAATACGTTATGGAAAATCAGTATAAGAGTTTAACCAACAGACAAAGGAAATAATATCTTACAATGTGAACTTTCAAAAAATAAAATATAATAACCATTACCTTTAAAAGAAATTAATCTAAACAAATTTAATTGATATCTAAACAACCTATTTGGAAAATCTTATCTATAATATATACAAAAGGCTATATTTTGAAGTTTGAGTTGATTGGATTTTAGTAGATGCAGACGGTGAATACCAAATAACTCCAAATTGAAGTTTGAATTCATTGAATATTTTGAATCTTACCTACAATGTATAAAAGGTGCAAATATCTCTAATATATGATTGATTCTTACACAGGTTTTACCGTTTTAGCAGTTGAAATTTCAGCTGAAGTTGTAATCCATGTCGCATCTCACTTAGCATGTGATTCCCTGAATTTGCAGCAAATAAACAAAGAGACCTATGGATTTTGTGTCGACAGTGGAGGAACTACAAGGATTGCAACGATTATATTAATAACAATAACCTTTTCATTAGCTACACCATAGTTTAGACGCAATAAGCTAAAACTTTTTTGAGCCGATCAAAATTCTTGAGTTTTTAGACATGTTATATAGACAAAATAATCAACTAATTACAATAAGGTAAAAAAAATGAACACAAAATAGATGACAATGGGGGTGATTGGTAATTGTTGTAGGTGCTGTCCACAGCCATATTTATTTCTACAGCACTAAATTCAAAGCAATCAAGCTTTACATTTTTTTTTGAAACCACGGCTTTTGAAATGATCTACAGCTACACAAGTGCTCTGCAGAGCCAAATATCCAAAGCAATTTTTTAGTGCTTTCCAAAAATTCTACAGCAATAAAATCTAAAGCCACAACAAAAAGTCTACAGATTTTTTTCTACAGCAAAAACTTTAAATCTACAGCCATTACCAATCGGACCCAAAGACTCCAAACCAAACTGGTGTTTGACCTCTTTGATAAATAGACCTTCGATGTTATTCTTCACCTTCCCTATTCCTATGATTTATGTGTATTCGAATTTTATAATTAATCTACACATAGAGTAGAAAAAACTAAAAGAAAAATATATAAATGTGAAGAATATTAGTCAGTTTAGAAAATAAATACAATCATTTTCATCGATCCATATGTGACCTCTATTAGTTTTATTTTACTTTCTTAGATTAGTATTGACATGTTGTCTTTCAAAGGTACATTTAAAAGGTAAAGAAGTAGATTTCATTCATCTATATTTTTAATCTCTATCTAATTCTCAACATCTTAACTTTCTACCCAAATAAACTTTATTTTAAACAACTGAGTAAACAACATATTTTTTCCAAATTTTAATTTCAATTTTAATTTGAATTTTAATATAACTAGAAATAAAAGATACTTAAAATGATAAGTAATAAAAACATACAACCAGAAGACCAAGTAAGCCTCATCCAACCTTTATAATATAACACCGCAACTTTTTATTACGGACACAACCATCCAAAACAAACACAATACATTTTAACATATATATTCCTTCCACGTCCAAACATTCTTGAAAACCAATAAACGTCATTATACACCTCTAGCAGCATAAAACACATGCAATTAAAATAATATGTTTGTCGCTTTTTTGCCTTCTTTTATTTATTATTTTCCATTTTTTATTAATACGATTAATTACATAATATATAAGAAAATAAAAAAAAATACCACACAAAAAAACAAAGAAATGTATAACAACAATAAATTTTTAATAATAACATTTACAAACATTCTGCGAAAGAACTATAATAACTTTGACAGAGTATCTTTCTAAATCAAAACCTCATTTCCCATATTTTAACCCTAAAAAAATGATACAATGGTATTAGAAAACTCGATCTCATTCTCTTTTGAACGGTTCCGCTTAGTTTATGTATTTATAGTGTTATAAAGCTTAAAACACTATAAAAAGTTACAATTCAAGATTAAAACAGTAACAATACTAATAATTTGATCATTTTTATTTATATAATTAAAATTTGGTAGAGACAACATAATCATATTCACACCCAACTTAATATAAATAAAATTTACACAAAATTATATTTTGTTATAAAAACCAATCCATCAAATCCCACGCGTAGCGCGGACTTCCCCTCGTTATTCATAAAATATTAAAGTATAAAGGTTAGCAAGAAAACGATATCCAATAACCACCCACAATCTTTTTTATAAATATAACTAAGCAGATAGCAAGGCGGGTAGTTGTTAAACGCAAATAAAAACATTCGATTTTACAGAAACAAAAAACTATATAAATCTATGAAAAATTCAAGAGAGTGAGAGAGAGAGAGTAGAGTAGAGAGAAAATGAAGGAAGAACAATGGGCACCAGTGATAGTAATGCTAATGTCAAGTGTTGCAATGGGATCAGTGAACGCTCTCGTTAAGAAAGCACTTGATGTTGGTGTTAATCATATGATCTTTGCTGCCTATAGAATGGCTATTTCTGCTTTAATATTGGTTCCGTTTTCTTATATCTGGGAGAGGTATAAACATTTTGATACTTATGTCTCAAACTCAATCCTCGTTACTTTATTACGTTATGTTTAAATTTGATTTCGTACTACGAAATTAGAGTAACCGTAAACTTTAATTATTTAGTTATGCTACTAACAAAACGGACGTCATGTACGATTTGATCATTAGATGATAATAATCCATATAAATCCTAGACTCTTATAAACTTTTTTTTTTGCCTAAGTTTTCTAAATATTTTTTTTGCTTAAGTTATAAAACATTTTAACAAAAACAAATCTAGATTCAGTTTTCAGCTATGAAATGATTTCGTGCGTCTGTATCTAAACTAACTTTTTAATTTTAAAATCTATTATTACCCTCACACTAATCAAAAATGTGTGTTTTGATACATTGGATAATAATAATAATAATAACTAATCACATATTTAAAAAATACAATGTTTTTAATTGATTGAAACATGAAAGCAGTTACGTGCTTTTTAACTCATCAAGGCTTAAGGCGAATTTCAAAATACGGATATTTTTTTTAGAATATTTTTAATATTAATCGTTTCAAGTAAGTATAATATAATGTCCAATGGTATAATTTATAAATTTAATGTCACAATTTAAGTGTTAAAAATCACAATTCTTCCTTTAAAAATTAAACTCTCTCACCAAATTTTATAATTTATTTTCATACTAGTCTGAAATGATTTTCTATGGGTTTAAGAAACGTTTCCATAAAATAATTTTGGAAATATATACTTTTTGTGATTTCACATATCCAAGATCCAATTTAAATTTGCTTTATAAAGAATCAACACCTAATTGACAACTTAAATTTATCTTCTGTCAAAAATTTTAATGTTATATGATTGTTTTATTTATTTAGGGATCCTCAACTTTCTTTTAAAAAACCTGACTTAAAAAAAGAAAATTTGAAATCTGAACTCTAAAAACTACTCACTAGAATCAATTGTAAATCAGTTTTGTTGATAATTATAACTTTATATACAATACTCTATTATTCAACCTTCTCTTTATTCCTTTATCTTTTAATATTCCAGGTTATCTTTTTTTTTGTTCTATTTCACATAATCATACAATATTCATTTAGATCGATTTTATATGAAAGGATGGGGTTTGTTAGAAAAATTTCACCACACTACTATTTTTGTTTCAGTTCTTTTTCAAATATTTTTATTTATAAATACATATCAATAACAATTATCAGTAAATTATATTTTTCTAAATAAACAATTAATATCTTAATTTTCAATTGTCAAATTTTAATGATAAAATGTTAATAAAATGTATTTTGTATTTCTTTTTTATAAACAAGAGTTTATTAGTGAATAATATCAATATTATAATAAATCATTTTATATTTAAATCAAATGAACTAAGTCTTTGTTTGTAAAGCATATAATGATAAATTTTGATTAAAAATAATTTTTAAAAATATTTATTACAAAATAATCCATTAAAACATTTGAGATGACTAACAATCCAAAAAGTTCAACAACTAATTAGAAATTAACAGTTATATCATTTTTTTTAAATGGTGTATCTTTGAAATGACCAAAAAAATAAGGGAAATTGGTTTTGTAGAGAGAGGGATAAAGAGAGATAAGAAGAGGAAGAGAGAAGAGAGTGTAATTCTGGTTAGTTAGTGAATTATGTTTTTTTTTTTGTATGGTTAGTGAGTGTAATTTCCCTTTTGGAAAAACAAATATTTGATTTTTACTCTCTAAAAGCGTTGAACTCATGAATTTTGTATTTTCAATGTAGGTCTCATTTTTCTTTACTTTTTAACTAGTCGAATCTATTAATCTACATTTTATTGATAACAGTTTCATTGTAGGACTAGGAGAGTATCTCAAATTGTTTTTTTTATCATAAACTATTATTCGTGTTTTAAAATGTCACCAATATTTATATTTTGTTCATTATTCTAATACATTTGAGATATTCTTTTATATTTTCCCAATGAGGATGCTAGCTGTTAGAAGGTCTATGGGAAATGTTTCTTTTGCGTAACACATTGGACATATGTCCTCTGGGAAAGTACACAGATCATTTTGGATAAAAACGTACAAAGTTTATATAGCTTTTCTTTTTATGTTTATTTTACATTGAAACATCATGAACTAAGTCGTAATATTTATCCACGTGCGTATATGATATTTGTATGTATGATTGTATATACTACTTAGAATTTTGTTTGTGTGTGTGTATATATGTAAGTAATGAAGTTTGTTGTAGGAAAACAAGACCAAGGATAACGTTCATGCTCTTGTGCGAACATTTCATCAGCGGATTACTTGGGTTTGTCCTTTTCATGTTTTCTTGTTTTTGCGTTATTTACTCCACTTCCACGATTTTATATCTACTCTATTAAAATAGAGTCATTCTTTTTATCTACTGATACAAATTGTCATTTAAATTTGGACCCTTTCTATAATGTTACAAATAATAAAAATCATATAATTGATTGAACCGTATTACTTAAATTAAACAAACACAATTAATGTAAAGAGCCTTAATGTAAACTACCTTCAAAATATGGCATGTATCTATGTGTATACCAAAAATACATATTTTCTCCTACAAATATGGAATGTTCTAAAAGAATATATATCATCAAAATATAGAATATAGAAATCTACTAATTATACTTAAATTAAACCAGTGGTTATTAATGGAATATAGTCTTGGGTTTACTTTTATTTTTTGAACAAATTATATAGTTTGGTTTTTTGGCTTAGTATTAAGAAAAAACTTCAAAAACATTGAATAAACTTTTCACCTTAAAAGATCAAAAATCAATTATTATTTTCAGCCCAAAAGGTATTTAATATTTTTAACAAAATAAAATTATCTATTATCAATCATTTATTTAAATCATGTACTTTAAAACATGTTAATATATTTTTTATTTTAAATAACAATCACTTTGTTTTGATAAATTTCAATGGTAATTTTTAAATAATTTATTATTTTATTTTTCTTAAATAATTTACTGATTTAAAAAATGTAAAGAAAAACCAAAAACCAAATCTAAAAACTAAAATCCAAAACCAAAAGTTGAAAACACATGTTATATTTTTTTGCTTTGTTTATTTACAAAATAAACTATTTCAAATTTTTTTTAAAAAACTTGCTATCATCTTTTCAGTTTTAAATTAGATGTTCAATTATTTGAGATTTGTTTGTTGGTAATATTAGTTCAAACTAACTCAGCGGGTTTAAAAATTAAAAACTCAAACCAAAAACTGAAAATGAAAAGTAGAAACTTAAAAACTAAAAAACAAAAACCAAAATTTAAAAATAAAAACTGAAACTAAAAACTAATGAAAAACAATCTTCACCACAAATTTTGGTGAACTGATTTTATATCAAAATATTCTTTAAATTAAGACAAAACCCAATTATATAAATTTTTAATCATAAAAATTTTCCGCGCTTTCAAGCGCGGGTCAAAATCTAGTACTTTTTAAAGGAAAAAGAAAGGATAAAAGAATTTTCTAACACTTTACAAGCTTACGTTGTTTCTGCTGTATATCATTATTTTCTGTAACTACGCAGGGCTAGTTTGATGCAGTTTTTCTTTTTGCTTGGACTATCGTACACCTTACCCACAGTTGCGATGGCTCTAAGTAGCATGTTACCCGCTATTACCTTTGCCTTAGCCCTTGTTTTCAGGTAATGCAACTAATTTAATTATTGTTTAGAACTAATAATCACAACTAAATCTCGCAATCTTAACTAAAAAGAAAATTGTAGAATAGAGATTGCACAAAACCTGAAGAGCAAACCAGGTGTGCTGAAGTTAATCGGAGCCCTAACTAGCATACTTGGAGCAATGTTCTTAACATTCTACAAAGGTCCACAAGTATCAAACTCTCATACTCATCCAGAGGCTATTCAGAAAAACACATTACATAACAATGGACACGACCAAGCAAATAAATGGCTTCTTGGCTGTCTTTACTTGTTCACTGGAACAGTGTTATTGTCACTATGGATGTTGTATCAAGGAAAATTAAGCGTTAAGTATCCGTGCACTAAGTACTCAAGTACTTGTCTCATGTCGGTCTTCGCAGCATTTCAATGTGCCATTTTGAGTCTTTATAAGAGTAGAGAAGTCGAAGATTGGATCATCGAAGACAAATTCGTCATCTTCGTTATCCTTTACGCTGTAAGTTTTTCCTTTTTCTTCATTATATGCAATACATATAATAGGCGTTAAAAAACATATAATGGGCGTTATCCTTACGCTGTAAGTTTTTCCTCTTTCTTCATTAGATACTCAAATGCAATACGTATAATGGGCATTAAAGGGCATTAAAGGCGACTTTTCTGCCATCAACCACAACAGTTTTTGTGGTTGGTAGCGGTTATTGGCGTTTTGCAACAATTACAAAAAATGCTTTGAATCTCTAAAATTCAAAAGTTGGTTCTAGCTAGCGTTTACGGTTACGGGAAGATAAAAAATATTTTTTTTCTAGAAAAACTATATAAATATAAAAATAAAATATCCAATTAAAATTTTAAATTAAAATAATTAAAATATCAAAATATTTATATTATAAAATTTCCAAAAATATTTTCTTTATTTTTACAAAATTTAATAGTACAGTTTTATAAATAAAATTTTTATATTTATTATGAAAATAGGATTTTAATATTTTGATAGTTATATAAAATATAAATATTGTTAATTTATTATTTAACCGCTGGTGTATTTGATAATAAACCAGTCATAAGTATTCTGCAAACGCAACAA